GCGACTTTAACAAGATGTTTGACTCGAAGTCGTTGTCCTTGCAGTTTGGTATTCGGCATGTGGTAACTCAGCCGACAAGAGGAGCAGCGATACTTGACCAAATATTCAGTGACATTAACAGCACCTCTCCACCTTTCACTATAGCACCGCTTGGCACCGCTGACCACAATACTGTCCTCTGGTCTGCCTCCGTTCAGCAGAAAACGATTAACCAGATGCGGGCAGTGAGGCCACTGACAGACTCAGCTATTCGTGAGTTTGGTAGGTGGATCTGCTCCCAAACCTGGGAGGACGTAGTCGGCACAAGAGACCTCAATACGGCTGCCGAGGTTCTGCAGACTAAACTTCGAGAAGCATACGAAAATTTCTTCCCAGAAACTATATACCGTTGCAAGAGTAGGGAACCGCCCTGGATGACGAAGCGCATTAAACACCTGATCACAGTAAGAAACCGTGCACAAAGTCGCCGTCAAATGGACAGGCTACAACGATTAAAGGGACCATCCCACCTTAACATTAGTTTTGAGTTGAGATAGCCAAGTTTGCGGCCAGGCTCAGAAACCACCATTTATCCTGGTCGCAACCCCCGCAGCTTTATGGTGTTCAAGAAATTTCTTCCCTTTACTTGCAGGGTGGGACCAGCTTAGTCCCTATCTCTTAACCATTAGCGGTTTTTTGATGACGTCAGCAGTCATTTCAACGCCCGCCATTCCTTGAACCCGAGTTTTGCTGACCTTGAGCTCCCTTTTTTATCAACGTGAAATCCGTCGTCGGCGCTGAGAAAGCCTATTGCTTTTCATTTTAATTTGAATATTAGAAGATACCCACCACTGGAACTTGGACTGATATTATACCAAGGCCGAAGATGATCAAGCTGCCTGCTATATCTGGAGCTTGGTGTTCAACTTCAACATGGAATAAATAACAAAATATCAAAGCAAACTGGATAGGTATGGTACTGCAAGTTAAAGTCCAAAGAAATTTGAAGAGCTGACAATTGACATTAATTCTTTTCCTGCAAGGTTTCCTTATGGAGATCACAGTCACACCATGAAGAAATATTTTTGATGTTAACAGTTGAAAGGGGATTTATCTTCCAGTTTTGACGAAAGACGCTGCTGACTGTCTTTGGAAAAGGATGTCGGCATGAGGTGCAATTGTGCTTGTGAAGTGGTTATAACTGGTCTTTTCACAGTATTAACCCGCGCCCTGGTGTGGGTCTGAGCCACCTTCGCCCTGGTGGGGGGGGGGGCCAAAATGACCCCCCCCCGTCTAACTCGAAAACGAAGAGGGCTAGGAAGACGCGGAAAAAAGCAAACGAAAGCCCATAACAAGTACGTTCGAAAGTATTTCGGTCATTTTTTCGCTAAGGTCAATATTGAGGTCGCTAGAGGTCATCATAGGTCAAATTTCAGTGTTTTCGGTGTTGCCGGACATATTCCGCTGTAGCTCGGAAACTAGAAGAGCTAGAGAGCCGCGGAAAAAAGCAATCGATAGCTCTTTTCAAGCTCTTTCGCCAAGGTTCGTCAGATTTGACCTCAGCTCAACGGTTTGGCCTACAGAGGTCATGCAAGGTCAACTTGGCAAATTTCGTTGAAAATGTTTTTAACTATAGCATGCATTCACGAGAAAATAGAGAAACGATTCATGCACCATCGTGCTTGGCTCGTCGAGACGCGTCGAATGATATATAGTTTGACCTCGAAAGGTCATTTTGAAAATTTGACCTCAGGTCAAGGTCATGACCTTACCGAAATAGGTCATGCTGCATATCATTCGATCCGCATTGACGAGACAAACACGATAAACGTCGAACGGAGTCTCTATCTCTATTCAATAACAAGTAAGTGCAGAAAAACCGCTGGTGACCTCTGGTGACCAGGGAGATGACCTAGCGTGACCTCAGCGAGGTCACAAGCAAATGGTTTCACATGGGCTGTGATTTGCTGACCCAAGACACTTCAATAACGAAATATAGGAACAATCACGCCCGATTTAGCTGAAAAACAACTACTTTTCGATTCTCCCATTGACTTATAATGGGGAGCAGCGATGACCTGACCTGACCTTAGGTCACATTTATAAAAAATCCGAGATAGCCATTTTGTAGAGCTGGGTGACATCTTCAAGTACTGTAAATTTTACATCGATCGGATAAAAGCTGTGCCTTTGAGAGAGCTTTGAACTTTTTTAGAGGTGGTGTCAGTTTTGGTGACCTTGTGACCTGACCTGACCTGACCCGAACCCCCAAAAAAAGGACATGATGTAAAAATGTTGAATAAACAGCTATACAAAGTTTCAGGGCGCTAACTCAAGTGGTTTCTGAGTTATCGCTGAAAAACCACAGGGGGGGGCCAAAATGGCCCCCCCCCACCAGGGCGAAGGTTAAATTAAATGTGCCATTGCAGCCAAGTGTGTTATCATGTAAGGTAAAATCAAAACTACAATGTTGGTTTTACGAGCATTGAGAAGGCTGGTAGGTAACACCTGCTTGTGCTCGTAAATCATGCTGGCAGAGTATTCTAAATTAATTTTATCATACACTTTTGTTGTCCAGAATGGTTGCACTATTGTTTGGTATCATATTATTCCATGTAAATATGGTAGTGTAAAGTCCGACCAACATGTTACCAGATTTGAAGCTGTTACGTTACCTAAGTACCTGTTTTTTACTGGCGTGGTGAATGTCACCTGGATTTTGTTTTGAGGTGCAGACCTAGTAACTCTGACTACATGGGTTTGAAGCTATTATCTATTCTGTTTTTACTGGCCTGGTGAATGGCGACTGATGTTGTCCGTGGATGGCACTGAAACAAATTTTGAGTGTTTTGTACAGTGTTTTAATACAATGCTGAGGGCTGAAAGTTGTCTTGTTTAGAGTGGTGAAAGTTCAGGATATGCCAGCCACCATGGTGGGTCATAGTTAAATGTGTTGCAGTCAGTTCGGCTTCGGCAAGCACACGGATGGGCATACGCATCAAGACCTGCTCTGCCATACTTTCAGCCAATTTTACCTAGGTAAGTCTTTTCTTTTTTTCTGCCAAAAGCTATGACATTGTGAATTTCAGCACTGTGGCCTGTGTGTAGCTTTCAGGAAGGCAATTCTAAATAAAGCTCTGATAAAGTGCAAAATCAGCAATGCAGCCCTCTATTACATTTTCTACAACATCTTACTTGTTCCTTGCATGGAGAGAAAAATGCAATGTTATGAATTCGTTTATTCACATAATTTGACAAGCATGCAGTTACCTGCTACTATCACTGCACAAAACAGAGCAGAAAACATCAGTTGATCAAACACAAGACATAACAGAAGTTTACAACATAGGGCTGCCGAACCTGCTTCCTCCCACCACAGTTGATGCCATTTCCTAGCCTGGCTTGATGTGAGCACTGAATAGCTGCTTTGTCTAATTACAGCTCACTACCATTCAACTTAAACTACTCTCTTTAAAGTAAGAGTGAGAGCGTTCAGTGTTCATAGCAGCTCGACAGACGACAGACAACAAACATCTTGACAAACCAACCAGTATTTGATTTGGCTAATGATTTATGTGCTTGTTGTATCATGGCCAAACTACTTTAACAGCAATAATCCCTGTTTCATCTTGATCTTGCTTTTATTTCCATTTGAACTCAGATCTTGAAACAATCATCTGAAGTGATATCAGATACTGGCTTCTGTTTCTCTTGAAAGCAAGTTAAAACAACAATGATAAACTAAGGCAGGAGATGTGAGTTGTGGCAGTAGATTTTTGATTCAACATATGTCAACCTTATATTGCTTGAGACCTCTGTGACAGACAAACAAATATTTATAGTTTTTTGATAGTTTGGATTCTTGGCTTGATTTAGCAGATCAGCTGTGAACCTTGACTTTGAAATCACATAAATGTCATGGTACCCGAACGAATCCTCGCATGACATTTCTTCGTAGCACAATTTTTCGTCCGCATTTCTTCGTCTACAAATCTTCGTCGGTGCATTTATTTGTCCCTCAATGCTTACTCTTGCATATATTTGCGTTGAAGAAGAAATGCGAGCCGATTTTCATATACCCTGGTGCGAGACAAAGTAATGCGATAGGTACGAATAAATGCCCTGACGAAGATTTGCAGACGAAGAATTGCGATACGAAGAAATGCCATAAGAATTGTCCTGGAATCCTTTATTGGCCATCATATATTGACCTTGATAAGATAAACGCATCATTCGCGCAATATATGTCGCACTTTGATACCAAACTATTGCTTCCAAATGCCGACGTAAAGAAAACCTTTATGTGACGTCATAGAAACAGCGGATTTCCCAAAAAGTAAACAAAAATAAAAGTCTTATATCTCGAAAACGGGTGAATATTTTCCGGTAAAATTTGGTAGATGTTCATTTTAGCTCTTTGTGATTCACGCTACATCACTTTTATGCCAATTCATTAACTTTTTTGAAGGTGGGAGGGTCCCTTTAAGAGAAAAGGTTGGCCTAGAAATTCGCGCCGCGAAAAACCACTGGTTGAAGCGGCAAATGACGAAGATACTCGGAGACGGCAATAAATCATGGTACAGTCAAATCAAAATATTGACAAACAGACAACCTTCTCGGTGGAATTTTGAGTCAAACAACGCTGAAAATGACGTTTTCACAGCCGAACTGGTGAACAATTACTTTGTGGATATCACAACCACCTATGAACCACTCTGCACTGACCAACTACCAGCCTTCTTACCTGCTGAGGACACCCCCTTTGAGATAATGCCCTGGCAAGTGGTACACAAGCTGACACATTTAAAACAGAACATGGCTGTACCAACGGACGACATTCCCGTACGCCTGATGGAGGAATTTAGCGTTGAGCTAGCCATACCACTGTCTCACATCTACAACGAGTCACTTAAGCGAGGTGAATTCCCCTCGCCGTGGAAGCGTGCGATGGTGATTCCCATACCCAAGAAAACTTCACCAGAGTCGCCGGCTGACCTACGGCCTATCAGCCTCACACCGACTTTCGGCAAGGTGATGGAGCAGTTCATGGTACCTCTCATGACTGCAGACATCAGAAAACAAGTGGATAAAAGGCAGTACGGAAATGTAAAGGGAATGTCAACTGCAAACTACTTAATAACGTTCATGCACAGCCTTCTGTCCGAGCTGGAAACGTCCGACAAACTCTTTTCTGCAGTTATGTACGATTTTAAGAAAGGGTTTGACCTCATTGATCATACAGTGCTCATGCACAAACACTGGCGGATCCAGACTTGCGTTTTGGGGGGGGGCCAACTCGTGCAAGGAGCCAAACCTAGGGTACCCCCAAATCCTGTTTTCTCATCGGATTTAGGCCACTTATTTTTCGTCACAGCCCTGAAACGATAATTTTTTTTAACTAAAAAAAAATAGAGAAATGGTAGCCCACTCAACCCGTGCCTTAATATTACTTTGAAAACACTTCAAATTGCTTTTGTCGACCACCGCTCCGGGTCGGTGCTTGGCGCAGCCTTCGCGGGCTGGGAGGTGTCGGTTGAACCTCTCTGCCGTTCGGCCCCTGATCAAGCTAGAGCTCGCGGAAAAAACGAGTGTGTTGCCTGTCAGTGACGAGAGGAAGCCGATGATACCCGATTTTAAGGTCCTTGGTCATTGGTTGACCTTCCAGGGCGGTGGTTCACGGTCGCGCTGCCAGCCGCTGCCAGCGCATTCCGCGAGTTAAGGTCAACCTTCGGTAGTGTTGTAGGTATAGGCTAGTTGATGTCTCCATGGAAACCAAAAGTGCCAACAGCGCTGGCAGCGTGCCGTGAAACACCGCCCAGGTCAGGTCACAGACCCAAAAGACGGGAAAATCAGGGCCTGTCAGAACCTCCTAAAGTAAGGCTGTAATAGATTTTTTTGTGCTGATCACGAATTTCATGTTAGTTTGGATCATAGATGATGTCTTCATGCCTTTAGGCCATGTCGGGGCAGGCCAGGTCAGGTCAACCAGGTCAACCAGTACTTATGGGCGTCCGTGTAGCAGGTGTCCGACTACCACTGGCAGCTACGTAACATGATACGAAGGCATCAAAACTACTTCGTAAATGTTCAAATGGTTGCTAAATGCTAAATTCAAAATCAGCTAAACGAAACTATCCTAGAAACATGTTAAACTCGGAAAAGTGCACCGAGGTCATCAAAGGTCAATGACCTGACTTGACCCTAAGGTGACATTGACACCTACCACAATGGTTGGGACCAACATCATTTCACATGTTTGAGCGTTTTAAACCACGAAAAGACTGTAAACGAGCGGATAATGTGAGCCGACATACGCGGAATCGCGATTCCGGCCAAACATGGCCTCAAACATGGCCAAACATATGGTGCGTTCGGAGAGGCACATTCCACGTGGAATCCGTGGAATACTCCATGCGCGCGGAACATTCCCGGAGATTGGCCGTTCAGAGAGATACGCCTCCGAACACGGCACGGGGAATATTCCAGGGGACGGTGAATATTCCATGCTCTCCGAACGCACGGATAGTCTCGAGAAATAGGCCACAGGTCAAAGGTCACTTGGGTCAGGGTCATGAAATTTTCAGACTTTGTCAACATGAGGGTGCTAAAGTTTCGTCGCGATCGGATTCATGATAACTTACACGATAACTTCACGCGTCGATCGAGAGGTAAAGTATGCAATAAGAACTTCTTGGGTGAAGACGAGACCAACACTCAAGCTCACATATTTTTAATGATACGGTAGTTTCTACCTACTACGCTACTTTCTCACATTAATATTTCTTAAGTGTTTTTGGGGGCCAAAATACATGTTGCCCCCTTTCAGGCTTGGGGGCATGACCCCATGGCCCCCCTGGATCCGCTAGGCCGAAACTAACTAGGCCGTTTTCAAACGGTCTGATATTTCAGGTCATGGTTTGCAAACGGCCGGTGTTTTCAGGCTGTTTCATATGCCCTGACTGGGCCAGGCCGTTTGCAAACGGACAATTTTCATACGGCCTGTAGGCTGTAACATATATTCATATTTCACCATCTGTCGCAGCATCAAATGCTGATGTGGTGCACTCAAAAGCCGGAATTGGTCCTTGGATGCCGTAAGGACCCTTTTAAGAAATAAGTGACCCGACTGACCCCTTAGAGATTGGCCTGAGCTCTGACCGAAATAAGTCTTTTACCGTTTCACGGGAAGGGACAAAAAGGTCCCTAATATGCTTCTTGTACAATTACCAAACAAAACAAGCTTTTCAACGCCAACTCAGTGAGTGTTCCTAAAAATTATTGCGCATATTCCGTGACTGAAAAATTGCCGGGTCATGTCAGGTCAGGCTGCCAGAGCAAGTTTGTTAACTTGACAGTTCAATCGATATGTATGCAATAAAACCTTCTCGGGTGACGACAAGACATGACGACACTTTATGAAGGAAGCTAGTAAACCCGGTGGTTTCTCCATAGGCACGGGAACCGGGGCAGTGGGGACAGCTTGCCCACCCCCCAACTATGGGGCCGTGGGGGCGGTGCCCCCACAACTTTCAGACGGAATACCCCATTTTTGCAAATGTTTTCTTTTTTTGTTGAAAAAAGCCAAGGGATGAAAAATAAGTGGCCTAAAACCACCGGTGAGAAAACTATATTTGGGGAGACCCTAGGTTGATCTCTATTATGGTGTGCCCCCCCCCCCCCCCAGTCTGAAAGTAGTTCCCGCACCCCTGAGTTTATGTAAAGCCCGCGCCTGTAGGAATAGGTTTTCCTGGTCGACGGGCGCCGCGTCGGAACGCGAGGCTGGCTTTCACCTCGGGCGGGCTGACCGTTCCGACTCCCGCCTCGAGCTGGGTTATAACGCGTGAGCGCCGGCCGATCGGGGCTCTCGTGTGGTGGCTTCGCTCGAGGTAGGTGTCCCGCTGACCCGGAGGATGGGGCTTTGTGCTCACCCCGCCTCCCTAGCTAGGCTAGGAGCAAGGTAAAGTAAATGTGTAGATTGCGCGTGTTAGGGTATGTTAGGCTAATCTGCGCGTTTATTCTGAGGCGACGTAATTTCCCGTAGACGTACATTCCCGAGCAGTCTTGTTTCATTCTTTGGCGTTATACTTGTTTTATGTAAATAATAACGGAGCAGAAATCTTTATCTTGTTTGGCAGAGAGAGACATTCGAGACGAAAGACGAAAGACGGAGATAATGAATGAGTCACGGAGTTTAAACATTAACGTAACGTAAATGTAATAATAACGTAACTTGCAATTAAGTCGGTGTAATGCACACCGCAACCCACGAGGGTGCGCGACCCAACCGTGTGTGCACAAAGGTGATGCATTCCCTGTCCACCGGATGCCAAAGTAAAGTAAATGCAATAGTTGGACCACCACGGCCGGGTGGCAGACGGCTGTCGGAGGATAGCACGGGTGTTGGCGGTAGCGCTGCCGCTAGCATCACGGGTATATTACATTTCTCTACGCTATTGAATCACGCCGGTGATTCTAACTTTTAGGTATCTACTACGCAACCTTCTCACATTAATTTTTCTTCAAGCGTTTTGGGAGGGGGCCAAAAGATATGTTGGCCCCCCTTTCAGGCTTTTGGGGGGCCATGGCCCCGGTGGCCCCCTCCCTGAATCCACCAGTGGGGGGCGGTGCCACCACAACTTTCAGACGGAATACCGCCCTTTTTGCAAATGTTTTCTTTTTTTTGTTGAAAAAGCCAAGAGATGAAAAATAAGTGGCCTAAAACCGGTGAGAAACTAGATTTGGGGGGACCCTAGGTTGATCTCTATTATGGTGTGCCCCCCCCGGCCCCCCCCCCCCCAGTCTGAAAGTAGTTCCCGCACCCCTGACTTTCTCTACGCTATTGAATCACGCTGCTGATTCTAGTAGGTATCTACTACGCAACCATCTCACATTAATTTTTCTTCAAGCGTTTTGGGGGGGGCCAAAAGATATGTTGGCCCCCCCTTTCAGGCTTTTGGGGGGGGCCATGGCCCCGGTGGCCCCCCCCCCTGGATCCGCCAGTGTGCACAAAGTCTTAACCATGGGGCTTCGTCCCAGCTTCGCACAATGGTTTGCTGACTTTCTGCGCGGTCGATCGCAACAAGTACGCATGCCGGATGGGACAATGAGTGCATGGAAGGAAGTCCACTGCGGTATACCTCAAGGCACCCTGGTTGGCCCATTAGCGTTTCTGGTGATGATCAATGATGCTGCTTCAGAAGAAGAAAACAGATTGAAATATGTCGACGATCTCACCATATACCAATCCTGTCCGATCAACACAATACAAGATAGCACCAAGCTTCAGACTACTGCCGATAGGCTATGTGCCTGGGCAACAAAGAATAAAATGGCGCTTAATGAAGAAAAATGCCAGGTTATGCATTTTATGACCGCGAAGAAGCCCATTGTAGGGGAAGTTGGGGCAATGCCGGAGTTGGGGCAAAGCCGAAATTCGAGATATTTCGAAAACCGTAAGACATGGATGCCACCTGTCAGTGATGCTCTGACGCTTAAGTGACTACAATTATCGCATGTTTGTTACGAGTCGTCATTCGGAATACTTCGACTGTGAGGGCGCCAAGAGCGTTTTCAAGGTACGTTTCCCTTGTACTACATGCGCCTTTGAAGCTGCATTTTTTACTCATTATGCTACCGTTTGTCTGGCCAATTCGGTCAAGTAATCTTTAGCATGTCTTTGCATAAGTGTGCTGCCTATTTGAAATTTATACAGCACGTTGAAAAGTTATGGGCCTGCAAATGAAAGTATGGCTGGCTGGGGTAATGCCGAAAACGTGCGATTACGCACGTGTTAAAAGCACGCTACGTGGACTTTACTGCTGTAGAATAGCAACGCGTATTTTTAGTCACACAAATTACACTTTCAACCGACACAACGGCCTGTTACCTATAAGGAATGATTTACCTGGCATTTTCTTATTATATCACACAATTATAACTTCCAGTGTGCACCGCGTCCTCAAGCTCTTGAAACGTGTGTCAGCTTTGATGAATTCGGGATAAACTTTGAGATAAAATGGTAAAACATCAATGTCGGCATTCCCCGTAGATCATTTCTCCC